ACTATCCGTGAAGCTCGAAGATAAGAAACAGGAGATAAAAAGTCACCGTACTGCAAAGCTGTGGATTCAATACATGAACATGGTTGACATTCTACGTTGTTTTATCAGATCAGAGCACACTGAACAGTGGAAACTGYACCTTCAAAGTACATATGATATGTTGCCTTATTTTGCAGCAGCAGGGCACAATTTGTACGCCAAATCGTGTCATATTTATCTGAGCAGAATGGCCGAGCTCAAGGAAAGCCGCCCTACAGTTGATCAAGCTTTTGAATCTGGCCAACACGTCGTCCGACGCAACGATCGGTTTTGGTCTGGATTATCGACTGACCTCATAATAGAGCAAGTCTTGATGCGCAGTGTCAAGACGACCGTTGGGTTGACACKTGGCAGAGGAATGACAGAGAYGCAACGTTTGTGTGGGTGCTGTCTATGCCAGCATGCGCTGAGGTCAATAATACTATGCAGACACTAACTGKCAGAAAATATGAAACAAGTGAGCAGCACATTGATACTACCAAGMACAAAGACACAACCCATGCACAGAAACAGTGTGATCACAAAGATACACAGGAGATTGTGCAACATCTCCGAGACCGTAACCCTTTCGGTCCAGATCCTTCCTTACGCAACATCACAACAGGAGTTGTCGCAGATGACAATGTAAATGCTGACAACGCCAAAGATGTCGGTGATAAGATCATCCAATCAATGAAAGATAAGAGCGTGCRAGGTTRCTCTTTTGTAARGAAGGCACAAGCTGTTACACTTGCTCGAAAGACAGCTGCTATATCTTTGAAAGATGATGYGATTGATGTCRATCCACTCAGTGTCTTAGCAACAGGAGGAAGATTCGATAATCCTGATGATTTTTTTCGATTTGAGATGTGTAGCTACCCACCCGCTCTTTTTGACCAATGCCTGCTGCCTAAACAACCAAGTAAATCAGTACTTGCTGATGYGTTGTGCTCACRATGCAAGGACAAGCAGCCCACAGAACTTCCAGCTCAAGAATTTCACTATGTTCTCAGATGGTGGCGCGCTTTTACATCGTGTTCCTTGGCCTAATAGATTTTTGTTCGGCGCCATTCTTGGTTTGTACGTACAGTATGTGAAATCCAAGTACAGTCAAGCGACAATAGTTTTCGATGGGTATGAAGAGGGTCCCAGCACAAAGGATTGTGCCCACCTTCGTCGTTCCAAAGCACACARCCCAGAGGACAAGTTCACAGAAAACATGGTGTTGACAACATGAAAGAAAGACGTATTCCTCTCTCATGAATCAAACAAGCAAAGATTCATCAATGCTTTAAGTACAAAGCAACGAGACTCCGGTTATTGAACAATTCATGCCTCAGGAGATGCTGATCTTTTAATCTCTAAGAATGCAATCGAGGTAGAGAAATCTTCATCAGCTGTGTTAGTAGGCGACGACACAGACCTCCTGGTACTTCTTCTCTTGTTTCCATGCAAATGCCCAAGCTTACAACGGCCTTTTTTTGCTCCCCAGCAAAAAGCTCGCATGGCCAAGTCTAAACRAATATGGGACATAAAAGCTACTATTGCAGAAGTAGGAATCAATATGAAATCTCACATTTTGTTTGCACATGCCATACTTGGCTGTGACACAACCTCCTGTCTACATGGTCTAGGCAAAGGCGCAGCTCTAAAGAAGATCGRAACAGAGCCCTATATTTGTGTCCAGGCAAGCGTTGTTTTTTAATCCTGGAGCTACACAAGAAGATATCACGACTGCTGGTGAAAAGGCATTGGTTTCTTTGTATGGGGGAAACCCAGAGGATAAACTTGATTCGTTGCGGTACACAATGTTTTGCAGAAAGGTGGCGGCAGGAACTCTTACTGTACAGCCAGAAACGCTGCCTCCTACCTCAGCTGCTGGTTCRTACCACAGTTTGAGAGTTTTTTATCAAGTGCAGCAGTGGATGGGAAATTCTCAGCTGAGCCCTTTACACTGGGGTAGTCAAGTTTCAAATRGAAAACTTCTCCTAATACGTACTCATCTTCCATCAGCTCACAAGCCATTACTTCAAATGGTGAGGTGTAAGTGTAAAGGAGATTGCAATACTCGCAGGTGTTCTTGTAGGAAGAATGGACTCCACTGTAATCCAGTCTGCTCAGAGTGCAAGGGACTGAGCTGTAAAAACACCACTCCTCTCGAGCTGGATACAGATGATGACTAACGTATACTTGATATGATGTAATAGAATAACAATCACAATTGTTAATGAAAACACAAAATTGTACAAAGTGGCTACTCAGTATGTCTTCTTGTTGTCATTGAAATTAAATAAAAAAATAAAAAAAAGAAAGAAATTAAATAGTAAACTAAAAACACCCCCAATTTTGTATTGACAGGGGCATTAAATTCTAAAAATCRCTTGTCGTTATTTGGTATGATAGAAAAATATTACAAATTCGGTTTTACCAAGCAATTTTAAAGATATTTGCTAGATTTCATCAAATATAGTTTACAATTGCATACAAATGGGAAACAAAATTAAAATGCCATTAAATACYCGCGAAAAAAATCGTGAATTTGATATACAAATTTTTTCAAAAATTGGGTACCCTGTGMTTTTTGGTCAGATATGTTTTCACCATGTTCCGCTCCTCAGATTTTTGAGGACTTTTTTGCTGTTGATAAGCTCACCTGTCTGTTTCATATAACGTTGGAAAAAATTCTATTGCAATTTGTTCTACCTAAATCTGCAATTTGACTGGACTATTTAAGCTTAAGCTTGGCTACATGTACGTGACCCATGAAAATGTACACTATAAAAAACACGAATTTATYGTTTGCTTACCCTCTTGTAAATCTAATTATATCACCGGTTTGCAAAGCTTCACCAAACTCGTCCCAAATAGATACGTTAATAGAGCCTGTCTTGTCAGCAAAACGACATGAACGAACAGTATGTCCATCTTTGGTCTGGGTTGGTTTCCCTACAAAAGATTATAGAATTGATGACTATTCTGGAGCTTGTAATTTTGCTGTTTCTATTTTAAGTAAATACCTATGTCGAGACAAATAAAAACACAATTAATGTTCTTTAGAGCCGGACGAATGTCTTTAATCTCAGTGATTTGCTTCTCTTCTGCCATTATGGAGTTCTAATCGTTTGGTGCCCGAAGTACACTTGGTCAGCAGTCCGTCTCCTCGTCAAATCAATGATATAGACTAACTAGACGCCCCTGGGGCGTGAAGTCGGACTAGCTATTTTTKAAAATTGATAGACACGAGTGAAAAGATTATGATGTTATATTTTGTCTAATCATATGATATTAAGAATGTAAATGAAACTTGAGAAAGACAGCAGGATATTACATAAAAGATAAAAATTWGATTAAAATATAWATTTGATTTTTCTCCAAAATAGCCGAACTCACGGTCTAATAAGAGCGTCTAGTTCAAAATATCCAAACTCTCTTGAGACTAAAATAAACTTGACCTAAAAGGTCATGTAATTGATACCAGCAATGAACGTTTAAAATAGTCCTTGCTTTCACTGATAAAATCAAACGTTGGTATGTAGATTATGTGATGCTAAGTGAACGTTGACCTCTCAGGCCCAAAAGTAAATGATACCATAAAATGATAAACTCGCCTTTTTGTTATTGATAAAAAATGTTTGTTCTTGTTCTAATTTGAAATCTTTGTCCACACAGGACTGCCTAACGCTAGAAAGGTCATTGATTTAGTTTCGTAAGCATACTACTCGAAGCACCAAGCGATCTGCACATGCGCGTACTTATGATACCTAGACTGTAAAGGAATAGTTTTTTTTGTCATATAAAAGCGCAAGTAGCATATGATGTTTACTAACGATATTCGTACATCAATACGTTTGAGCTTCCGGTCATGTAATAACACAGCCAACCTAATAGTTAATCATTAAATTCTTAACTTCCGGTGGTCCAAACGCGAAATGATACACAGATAGATTGGCTAAAAGCAGAAGTACTTCTGCTAAAAGGTAATTTTAAAGTCGGACCTCGCCTTCGGCTAGTCCGACTWATAATCGTTGATTGTCAAATCCGGCTTCAAATCAATGACTATGATTGATTTGACGAAAAAGTTATGAATTTGAAAGAGACTGAATCCAACCTATTAACAAACCAGTCCAAAATGTCTTCGAGGAAGATGAAAGCTGCTACTGATATCCTTTCATTCCAAGTTTGATATTTTGGKAATGTATCCAGTATCACTTTACATTTTTTAATCGTGTCTTCTAGACTTTCCTGGTAATCATTACCTAGTTGCATATAACAAGAAAATAATAAATAATATAAATAAATGGAATAAATTGATTAATAATTATGATCAGATTCTCAAACTTAGCAGTGCAACAGTCCCCGGGGGACTGGGGGACCCCRACTTRGGTGGGGGTGTGCCGCACGATCCTCAAAAACGACACAGGGGCGGCTGCTAAAGGAGGCTATCAAAACCCTTRCCCTATCCCAGACCAATTTTTATGATTTTACATACCCTGCCCCAGACTTAAKGTGCAAAGTTACATTATTTTAGCGCTGAAAGCTTAGACTTGCAGATACGATAACAGGCAAAACTCCACCCTACCACAGACAATGAGACTATACCCTCACCTAGACAAAAAAACTACCCTATACCAGATAAAACTACTACCCTATAACCCAGACAAATGGGCAAAAAATAATACCCTATCCCAGACTCGGAGCTCCGAAAAAGGGACCCTATCGAGCGGCACATACCCGTATAGCAAATATAGGCGAGTACCCCCACCCGGGAACAGTCCCTTGAAAGCCCGGGGGCCATTCACCCCTATATCCGCTACTAACGGGGACGTGCCGACAACCAGGGTATCGTTTTCAGCGATTTTACTCTGGAACTGGGTATCGTTTTTAGTGATTTTACTCTGGAACTGGGTATCGTTTTCAGCGATTTTACTCTGGAACAGGGCCAGGGTTTGATTCTGGAATTATCGATTCTGGGTAAAAATTTACGGGGTAAAAAAAATTCGGTCTACACGCAAGCTAGTGCTGGGTTTTACTCTCTGGAACAGGCTATCGTTTTCAGTGATTTTACTCTGGAATAGGGCATAGTTTTTAGCGATTTCACTCTGGAACAGGGTCAGGGGTTTGAGGGTCTTTTGAGGTCCCAGCGGCACACCCCTACCCAAGTTGAGGGGAGAGCCCCCTCCCCTCCCCCCCCTGGCCTATTTAAGACATTTAATGTAGAGTGACGTTTTCCCACAAAAACAACAAAAGGACAAACAATAATATTACCACTCTATTATCATGAATTCCCATNTGGGGGAAATGTGGGGGAAATGTGGGGACTTTGTATTGAATCCTCCCCCAGGGGAAATTGTGATGGACAGGAAAACGGTTTGAAAACCTTTTCAAAGAACACTAGAATTCTTTATAATGATGTGGTTTTAGTAAGACGGTGGCTACGAAAGATTGTAGATCGTTTTATGTTTTACCACTTTTATCGAACTTTTCGTTTTTCACTGCCAAGTCCGGTGCTTGGGCTACCTGTGTCTAATACAATGTAAATCAATGTCACCTAAGTCCCAGCTTTCCTCGTCCTAGAAATAGTAGGTCCCAGGCTATTTTCTTGGTTGGATGACGCGCTGTCCCTAGCTGCTGGCGAGTGGTGGGCGGTTTATTAAGTAGTAGTTATACAGCCATGTTTGTTTAACGGTGAAATGAAAATGACTCTTGAAATAGTATGGCTTATATTTACATTTTGACTATTTATGATWTATGTAATTTGGCCCCAGGGACTGGGGAATTATAGGGGTCTTTTCTAAAAAAACGTGCCCCATATCTGGGGGAATTCATGAAGTTTTCGATGACTCAAAGCAAAGTCCCACCTTCGCCCAGGACCCCCCACTCGTATAAAGATGTCGCTCACGGTGTCGCTCAGAATAGACCCCTTGCATGTGACGTCAAAGCAGCTTCATCTGGAGGACAAAACAAAAGATTTTTATCCTCTTGGGAACTAGAATCCATTGTTTTGTCCTCCAGTTGGAGCCGCATTCCCATGAACTGCAAGGKGTCTATATAGTGTAAAGTTTTGGGGATTTGTCATGCCCCAAACAGCAAAAATGTTCTGAAGTCTCATCTTGAATAGCCGCCATCATACCATGTGGTTTTATCTGTGGGAGCAAAGTTGTCCCAGTCGATGTAAACTCGTGAGGAAATCGCCGAGCGCTCTGGTAAAAAGTGGAAAAAAATTGTGCTTGCATTTTATAATCGGGAGGCTTTTCATGCCCCAAATAGCAAAACTTTTCAGTAGTCTCTTCTCCTTGAACGACCGCCCTCATTTACAATGTAGTTTTATCAGTGGGAGCAAAGTTGCCCCATTCTATGTAAAGTCGTGGAGAAATTTGTGAGCGCTCGTTAAAAACCTAACGTGGAAAAAAATGCGCTTGCATTTTATTAATTATCTTAAGCATATTGCTTTTCAATTTCACCGATGGAGTGTTACTAGCAATTATAAAAATTTTATTATATAGCGCGCTCTGMTTGGCTGACGACCGTGTTTTATATCAGAGGACAGAGATACGGCTTACCGACAATTTTTTTTTCGCTTGAAAAACACAGAAATTTTTGATATAAGAACTATAAAACGGCCTCTTGTGTCTGTCCTCTGATATAAACACGGTGGGAGTTGAAAAGCACTAGTGACTAACACTTGCTACGCTCGTGTTTCTAAGCTTGCTTCTCTCGTGTTTTTCAACTCCCACCGTGTACGCGCGCCGTTTTATATTTCTCAAACAAATCATTACAACACACACAATTTTTTTGTTTAATGCTGTAATACAATACAATAAGTTTCTTCTTTCATTCAACAGGGCCTTTTCAGAATTTATCAATTCATATTAACTATAAAATAACACAAACTAAATAACAAAAATAACAATCGTTATTGCTAAACATCAAAAAATATAGATTTAAGAAATATAAAACGGCGCGCGTCTCTGTCCTCTGATATAAACACAGTAGGAGTTGAAAAACACGAGAAGCAAGGTACGCGAGTGTTTCTCTTGCTTCTCGAGTGATGAGCGAAAAACAAATAATGACTTATAAAATAAATGACTTATCATAGAAACAATRGAATGGATTGTCATGCATTTATCAGTGAAAGAAAKCACTTATTTGAAGATGTTGGGAGAAGATTCAAAAAAGCCAATTCACACACTTTTCTGGAATTTTTTTAGGCCCTTTCATGTATAGTTTACAACATGAGCGGCCGTGTTGTAAACGACTTATGAAACTCCAACACTAATTACCATGGATTACAGTGAGGTAAATGACAAAAAAGCTGAGTTTAGTTGCTATTAACCATGCGMAATTTACTGCAACAGAGAACATTTTGAATAATTATTCATCCCACATGGAAAGCAAGCCATCTGTTGCATAAGGCCGTGCTGCTGTCTTTACTTGTTTCAAAAMCGCCGACCGGTTAGTTCAGTAGGTAGAGCATCGGACTTTAGTGCGGGAGGTCGCAGGTTCAAACCCCGGCCGGACCAACACTCAGGGTCTTAAAATAATTGAGGAGAAGTTGCTGCCTTTGTCTTTCTCCATCTGCAAATGGTAAGATCTTCTCGTCCTCTCGGATAACGACGTAAAATCGGAGGTCCCGTCTCTCTACACTTCACTCACTAACCAGTATTAGAGGGACRTTAAAGAACCCACACAACTGTTCGCATAAGAGTAGGGAATGATTCCCGGTGTGTGTGGCTAGGCCTTACTACTAACCCATACTAATTACTAACCCCTCATGATTGTAAGCCGCGTGGCTGCCAATTGCGCCTTAAACAGCGGTCCGTGTGAAATGATCTATACATGTGAAGCTCCTTTGAACTCAGAGGATATCGGCGCTATATAAATACCACATATTATTATTAGTAGTAGTAGTAGTAGTAGTAAAGGTTTATGATGCGATACTAAATCTGAGACCTTTGCTTATGTTGGGTTGTCTCAATGGTGACGAACGTGTTGTAAATCTTATACAACACCAGATTTACAAGGTCAATCACCTGACCAATAGAGTTTTATAAGTTCTGTTCTAAAACTCATGAATTATTCATTAGTTATTTATAAAACATTCTTCATTCTTCCAATGAGCATTCAGCTATGGGTCACATGACAGAATCTATAACTCAAATTTTAAAACTCATGAATTATTCTTTAGACACTCTTCCAATGAACATTCAACTGTGGGTCACATGGCAAAACCTATAACTCAAGTTCTAAAACTCATGAATTATTCATTAGGCATTCTTCCAATGAGCATTCAACTATGGGTCACATGACAGGATCTATAACTCAAGTTATAAACACTGATTAATTAAATAAACATGAGTTTTATAACTAACCGGTTCAGTTAGTTATAACACTCATGCATAAAACATCAGTGTTGTAACTGATTTACAGACACTCGATGTGTGCCCAAACACTAGAAAAGTTCTTAGTTTTAGACTCTCATCATAGAACTTCACTAGGTCTCGAGTTAAAATTACTTATTTGCAGAGTCACACTAGACTAAAACATAGTGGCGCTTGGATGTGGTAAACCAAGTTGATTACTGCTCATGCTCAGATGGAGATATCTTCATCAATTATTCATTTTTGATATTTTTTTATTTATTTCATGTTTATTGTAGTTTATTAGGTTTGGGTTTTAGAAGTCATTTAAAAAACTCGTAGTTCGTGTTTTATCGTGGATATAAACACTCGACCTTCGGCCTCGTGTTTATATCTCACGATAAAACACTCCTACTCGTTTTTTAAATATCACTTACAAACACTGATTAATTAAACATGAGTTTTATAACTAACCAATTCAGTTAGTTATAACACTCATGTATAAAACATCAGTGTTGTAACTGATTTACAGGCAATCGATGTATGCCCAACACTAGAAAAGTTGTCAGTTTTAGACTCTCATCAAAGAACTTCACTAGGTTTTGAGTTTAAATACAGTTATTGCAAAGTCATAGCACACTAAAACATAGTGGCGCATGGATGTGGGAAACCAAGTTGATTACTGCTCATGCTCAGATGGATCTATCTTCATCAATTATTCATACTCGTAGTTCGTGTTTTATCGTGGATATAAACACACGGCCTTCGCTTTCGGGCTCATGTTTAAAACACTCCTACTCGTTTTTTAAATACCACATAACATTTATGCATAATATATTTTCTATAATTAAACATCCATCCTTTATTACTTAATTAACTAAACACACATGGACACCAGCCAATGAGAACAGGCTTTATATCTCAAAAATATGGTCACTCTTATTTTTTTATCCTCTGATATAAATACTGTGCAGAGATCTATACTTATTAATTAATAACCAGTTAATAACCCAATAATCAGTTAAGYTCACCGTACACGGTGAGAAAGATTTCACTCTATGGATTTTCTTACTACAGCAGCTAAAAAAATGTATTCGAGAACCTTCSATATATGAGCTCCTGCACATTTTACCCATACGGAATGCTTTTTGCCTAGTAGTGCTCAAGTGGAAGCTTCCTGAGCTTTATGGACGACTACATGCAAAAATGGTTCAAGGTGCCTTGAAAAAAGATAGATAATTGGAAAAGTATTTTAGAGACAATACTATGAACCTACATAATTGAAATTATTTGCATAATGAGGCAATCTAAGAGTTCAATCAATCATTGCCATGGGAGACATTCAGCCATGTTTCTTCTCTGGGAACGTTTCCATGCCGTTGTTATCATATCTTCAGAAACCCTCTTTACTTGTTCATGATATCTGTCTAGTTTATCAAGAAGTTTATGGTGTATCTAAATCCAAAAAAAGGATTATGAACAAACAGGGATTTGATGTAATTTTAAAAGCTAATGCAACATGTTTTTTTAAATATCTGCAATAATTAAGAAAGTTTATTGTTGTATTGCAAAGAAGACAAGCGTTTTATTGCACCACAATTATTTAACACTTGAAATTACAGACATTTTCAGTTTCAGGTTTGAGTTGAAATTTGGCTTGCCCAGTCAAGTTCTCAACAAACATACACCTGACTTAAGCTTAAAAGATRTCATTTTTTCTCAATATTTTTTTGCAATAATTCGATAACAAGAAACAACACTCGCTTTTCTTGTTTATCGAAAAAATATGTGATATTGTTTTTGTTTTTTCGATTAAAAAAAATCATTTACCAACAATTTTATCTTCAATTCTTGTGTTTGACTAGAAATTGTCAACAAACTGTCAATAATGAATATGAATAATGATCAGCTTACCGTGGCTAAGTTGGAATTTGGTGAAGCTCCTTCGAGAGCAGTGAGCAGGTGGTCCAGTGTTGTGTAAGGTAACCAGACACTTGGAGATGTTGTATGTAAACAAGTCTAAAACATGTTACTCAAATTAGGATTTAGATTATCGCAAACACTTATTCTACAGTGGATTGTTGTACTGGAAACATGCATAATACTATATAGCAATGGCTGTGCGGTTGTACTAAAGGCAAATATAACCATATATAGTGCAAGAAATAGCAATTTGCTCTATTTATGATGGTGCAGCTATTTATGTCTAATTGATCTTCTAGGTTATTCACAAACCTTCAGTCCAAAATATTCTTTACCCTCTCCCAATACTGCACTGATGTACTCAATAGCAAACTCAGCTGCATCTTGTARAAGGTCATACATTACTAATAAGTACAGATGCTCGGCAGGGTTTAATTTCTACAACATAAAAAGACGCATTTACAATCCAAGCAAATATGTCATAAACAACTGTAAGGTTATTRGCGATTATAAGCTTTTAAAAYGTACTAGGTGAACTCATTGTYTTGCATCATACTTTTTGACAAAAATGTCACATCGTTCTCACCTTGTGTTGGTTAACAAGCCATGTTGGCAGCTGTGCTCCCATTGTTAATAGTTTACTTACAACACAACGATAATAAACTCGACAATCAGATGTGTCTTTAAGTTTTTCAAGGTAAGACTGAAGCAAATGCCAGGCTTGGTCAACAATTCTGGTCAAAAAAGAAAATATGTTATCTGACGTTAATTTGTAATTATATTTACAAATGTACCTAAAAAGTTCTTGAAGGAAGAAAGGTCAGCAAGTAGTATGTCCTAAGTGGTACTTATAACTAACTTATGATTGACAATTTGAAAAAAATACTGAAATGCCTGAAATAAATTTATTTTAATGAKCTCCAATTAAAAATTGTATATATTATGTATTATATAATTATTCACTTTTTGTCATGTGACAGCTGGGTGTTGCCTGCATCATTTTCCAACAGCCACTCCCATGATTCTGCATTGACCACTGTGCCTGTGCTGCTGCATTGACAAGCAAAGGATTAAGGTTAATATAAACAATGAAGTAGGATACATTTTAGATGTACGTGATCTTCATAAACTGTTCATAAACATACTCATACTCATACTCATTTTCAAAAAGGTTCTCAACTGAATGGAACTGTGGGAATTGAATATTTAACAATAGATTAGACCTCGAGGGTGAATGGACTACWATCAGTTCGTAGCCCACGAGGCCGAGAGGTCTAATTGTTTTAGTATTACCATTACTAGTTGGACAAAAAATATGGATGCTAAAACTTCGTGCTTATGGGTTCAATTAAATTTGGATAAATTATCGCAACTTCATCTGACATGCTTGGCACGTTTGAAAAGTGAAAATTAATTTACTACACGCTGGTGAAAGCTGGTTTGAGTGAACAAACTTRAAATAGTCCTTACTTACACATTGTTTTGATCCACAATATTTCTAAAAGAATGTCAAAATTGTCGCTTTTCACTAGCCGAGGACTACTGAAAATTGACCCCAAGTAGCGTAGCCAATTAGAATGAAGGATTTGCAATAGTCGACTAATATAATGGCAATACTAAATTATGGTTAATCGCTTATTGAAAGCAAGATATTTAAAAAAGAACAGTTGAACATGTATTCATATACAAACGGAGTTTCCTGACTCTAGAGATTGGAATTCCCTGACTTTTTCCTGACTCATTTTAACATTTTMCCCTGACCTCTAAAAAGATTCAGTTGTGTACTAGATAAATCATCAATAAACAACATTCGGGTAATTGGTGTTTTTAAACACGTTTTCTGTGCAGTAATCAAAGAATTCGAGAAGGTAAAGTTCTATTGTCAAAACTATGCAGATTTGAACATTTTTTAGAATTTCAAACCTAAGTTATCAAAAATTAATAAAATTGAGTAAAAATAAAAATAAATTAAATTATTAAAAATTAATGCATAAGATAGATTGACAAAAAGGTAAATACAATAAATAGCATACATTACCTTATGAAACCAATATCATAAGATTGCCTAACACACCTAAACAATTTCAAAACATYAAATTAAATGTCAATCCTTCAAAATTACTAAAATTACAGCAAGCTCATGAAAATCATGAGGGAAATGAAGTTGATTTACTGTTAAAGCTACCTTGCAGTAATGCTTTCAAATGTTGTATCTTTGGGAAGATTGAATGTTGATGCAACAGTAAAAGCTGTATCAAATAATCCTGCTTGATTTAATAGTGTCATAGTTTCGTCTGGAGTCAAGGGTGGTCCTACAACAACAGCAAAATCAATGCAATGAAATATTTTCAAAATTTAATATGAATTAAGAGTTCATTAAAGGTGGTGCCATGGAGATACATGTACAAACCTATGCCTTGTGAAGGATCAGCATCTACTCTCAACAACTGAAGCCTTGCCAAAACCAAAAGATATTCTTTTTCCAAATCCTTGATTTCTATTACTGTTAGCTTACGTGGTTGTCTCTTCTTCCTATCTGTACCATACCACATATCTTCATCTCCCTGCTTACGTTTAGGGGAGGTATTGGGAGGTTCTTCTATTTTCTAAACCAGTAAACAAAATAAAGTGATTATTTGGTGTCAAACAGCAGCGAATTAATCAAGAGATAAACATTAAATCCACCTCCTCTCATTAAAGACATGGTGAGTCAAACATGGAGACAGTTGTAGCGCTACTATTTTGATTTGATTGAAAGAATCATTAGAGTATGAATATTGAATATATAAGCAATCCAAACTATATAGTTATAGCTCATGTCAGAATAATTAACAATTAGATCTCGACTATGAGCTGATAGCCCACAAAGGCCAAAAAGTCTAATTGTTTTAGTATTACCATACTAGTCGAACAAAAAATAAATGAAATGTATAAATARCTAAATGTTTTTATTGTTAAAAATACACAAAAAGTTGTCGCTTTTCGGCAGTTGAGGACTATTGAAAATAGACCCTGAGTAGTGTATCCAGTCAAAACAAATGATTTGCAATAGTCCACTAGTATGGTAATACTAATTATCAATAGCCCTGTGTTGGGTTATATTGTTCAAAGTTAAAGCTTCTAAATACACAAGAGTTTCTAAGTGAATGAATTGAGAGAAAGTGATGTTGTCTAACTTTAAGCCATAAATCCATTGGGCTCTCAAAACCAMATAGTAGTAGARGTTGTTTGGGTGAGAAATATTAGTATTGGAGACAYAYGCACAAATGATGTCAAGTTCTAGTTTTACCCTTTTTTGTGCTCTATCCCATGGGGTAACTATCCAGGCATTCATGGGATCAACAAGTTGAAGAGCATTGATTGCAGCCAGGTAACATTTGGCCTAAAACACAGTTTTAAAACTTTTAGTATTTATTACTAGTAAATAAAATAATATAACATCAATATGCAGAAATTATGATCATTTTGACTCATATTCCAAGTATATATAAAATATATCAGAAATTATGGGATATTATCACAATATTTTTTAAGTTGCCTAGCACTAGASATTTCTGAAAATAATATTACACTTAAAATTGGTAGTGCTTGCGTTGCTAATGGTCTGTGTGATTTAGCAATCATGTCTGTTAACAAAAGGTKTGCAAAATTAAAAGCTCTCAAGCAAGTGACCAAATAGGAGAAAAACTCCTAAGGAAGCAGAATTTCCAGATTTTTCAAACTCGTACCACGGATCACATCTAGTAGTGTTACATCTGGACAATACTGAAACTGAAACTGAAACTGTTTTATTTTGCTTTTAACTTGACAGAAAAAAAGGTGCTTGTAATAAAAAGATAAATAAGTATAGAGAATATGCAAATTTATGTAAAAGAACGAGAGCCAGAGGGCTAAATTAACTAATAAGTTTTCTAGTTAGCCCCCTGTTATTTAGTGTTACATTGGTTGTTACAGGCAAGGAGAAAAACAATAAAACATAAGGAAAAAAGAATATACAATTAATTACTTACACAATAGTTACTTACAATAATAGTTACTTACAAAAGCTACTTACTTAGTGTCAAAAAGCAATAATAAGCCCTAAGGAAACACAACTGTGCCTCAACGACAATCAACGAGTTCAATTAATGCAAACAATAACTTTGACAAACACAGCCAACAATAGGAATTCTAAATAATGCTTTGATCTAGTATAGCCCAAATTGAGCACTCTTGAATGTCTAGTTTTCCMAAAAAGTGGGAGTTAAATCAGTTTTATTTGTAAAAGCAACTTTTTYGCCTCTGGAAGCCCATGTGTGCTAGTTATATTTTAAGTTCAATTCTAGACAAGCAGGGTCAAGYGCCTGTCAGTTAAAAGGCATGTCTAGCTTCTATTGTGTAACATAAACATGCATGTCCGAGTGGTAGTGCCTTTGACTTCCAACCCAACGGGCCCAGGTCCGAGACCCAGACGAGTACATATTTCTTTGATTTCTTTGTTTGCCAAAAAATAAATAAGCTTAATCAAGCTCAGGGAACCCAGTAAAGGAAAATAACTATAATAAATTGATAATTCTGAAAACGATGCAGGCTAWAGTTTACAGGAAAGTGAGTGACAGGATGAGTGGCAGATTCGTCACCCTCCAATAACTCTTCGATTGCTTTACAATCTTCGGGTTACAGTGCAGYAACGTTACAAACCCAAAGTGTGAGAGAGTATATCAGGCCACATGCAACGTCAGCAAGGCTGRAAACTGAGCCTACTCTTAGGCTGACKGCGGAAAATCAAGCATTATAATCCTATAACTGACAGTTGCTTTTTTTGAGTCTTTACACTTTGGCCTCTTTATCCACTCGAGTCGCCTCACTTGAGACATTGTGTAGTTCCAGAAAATATGCATACTCCCCCCACGTAGGKAATCGGAAATTCTGGGAGGGTGTGGGGGGTCAAGAGGCCTTGGAAGAACCTGGGGTCAGAGRTAAAATACAATWCAATCATATCAATTTGAGTAAGTCAAAACTAACTATGGCTACTTTTAGAAACTTACCTACAGATTTTAGTGCAAGATATCCATGGAAGAAGCGCATTTTCGAAAAACGATRAGATTTCTCTTCAATGGTCGCGATAGATGACATAAAAAGTCAAGAACAACGCRAAGCGATATGCGARGGGATGTGAAGCAAATTCAATAGGGAACCCATAAGCTCCGCTTATGCAGGGTAAAGCTCTAATGCAATCAGTTTCTGCAGCATTTCAATGACGATGAGTGTGTTTCAGTAAAATGTAATGACACAGACATACGTTGGTAYGACAAGARAGTCAAACATTTTATAGAAACTATACAGCAGTGATACAGTCACGTCACGGCACGACCGTTCCACAGTTATACAAAAACTGCTCTATAAACATCAAGTGTAAACCACACTTTGTTCTTTTGAAATGCACAGACAGACCAATCGGATTATTTCTGCAGTAACGCCGATCCATGCGGCGCATTTCTGAATGGTATAAGCTCATCATAGATCGACAGTCTGTTAAAAATACTTCAAAAATCAACAGAAATTAACCGCAAAAAATTTTAAACTCTTATCATACATTTCATAAAATATTTTTCTACTGCGGAAATTCCGGGGGKTGGGTTATCATCGAAACAAACTTCGGAAAATCCGGGGTGTGGGGGGTACCCATTTCTACCAAAATTGGAAATTGGGGGGATGGGAGGGGGATCATTAAAAAAAAATCCCTCCGTTTGGTGTGTGTGTTTTGGGGGAAGGGTATGGATATTTTTGGAACTACACAATCAATGAACCTGTAATATGTTGTTTTCATTATTCTACCTGTTTTTGAAGTCCATTTTTTCCTGGTAATTCTCGCCCCAGCCTTCCACCATATTCATACATGACACTACCAGCTACAAAACAACATTTTATAATATAAAAATTAGGTAACACCTAATAGCAGAGCTCCAATAGCAATATAGAAGAAAATGATTATCCAGTACTACTATTTCAAGGATAGCCTTAGTAGATGTAGTTTGTTTCAAGGAATGTAAACACAACATCTTTTGTTGATATGTGAACAAATACTTATTAAATTACCATAAGTTCTTATAGTTACTTTGAATATATAAAATGAAAGAGTAAGTTTATAAGAATTTCGTACTCTGAATTCATTGACTTTGATACATTTTGTTCAGTTGGACGAACTTACAGTATTACATCTTAATCAGTTAATCTGTATGTATCAATTGATT